TACAGTATACATGTATACAGTTTTTATAAAATTTTATTTTTGTATGTATATGTACTTTATATATATTGTAATGTGACATTAGTAAAAGAACATGAATATTCAATACATAATATAGGGTGGGGCTTGATTTGAGTCATTTTGGGTTTGATTGGATCATAAAAAAAATGACATTATTAGTACTTCCTGCCAAATGACAGTGGTTACATCAGCAGAATAGTCAGAGGTGGACATTTTGACCAAAAGATTACAAAAGCAAGCATTAGAATAACGTGTTGCATGTTATGGTGAAAAGTCAGCTTAAAATAAATCTTAAGTTGACTTTTCACCATAACATGCAACACATGTAACAGGATATTAAAGTATGGCATGACGTGACGATCTCAAACTGACATGTATTTGTGTGGCATCCTGTCTCTCTCCGTCCCGCAGCCATTCCACTGACGGCCTACGGACCAATGGCAGCGGCCGCAGCTGCAGCGATGGTCAGAGGTACGCAAAATCACATTTACTGTCAGATTTTGAGATTTATTAAACTCTTTCCACTTGTAAAGCACCTTCTGAATTTTAAAACGCCTGTCCTTTACCGTAGGTTCCACCCCCTCACGTACCGCTGGCTTCCTGGGCACCAGCAGCCCTGGGCCAATGGCAGAACTGTATGCAGCAGCCAATCAGGATTCAGGAATCAGTGGCTATATCAGTGCGGCAAGTCCCGCCCCCAGCACAGGGTTCGGACATGGACTTGGGGTAGGTTCAATCAGATATACAGACACATACACACACATTTAGAAATGTAACTTTATTGTAAAAAAGGACAAAAGTAATAAATATTAAAGTCCATGCGACTAGATTTATGTGCCCCATTGAATTCCATTGAAAGTGCATTACTATTTATTTTGGTATGCACTATTACACTGTTATTTGTATTTTATTATTTGCATTTATCATTGTTTTTAAGTATAAGTGTTATTTCAGTCTTTTCATAATATTGTAGTATTTATAAATATTTAAATTTTATATTAGCTTAATATTTTTTTTATTTAATTTAAAGTTTTAGTAATTTTGTTATGTGCTTTTCTCATTTTTATTAGTTTTAGTTTTAAAATATTTCTCTTTAGCTTTATTTTTATTTTAGATTTTTGATTTTAGTACTTATTTCAGTTAGTTGCAAGGCAACATTTCAAATTTCTATTTTTTTTAAGTTTAGTTTTTTCATCTAATACTTTTATTTTATTTCAATTAATGAAGATTTTTCAATAGTTTTAGTTAACAATAACAGCAGTGCTAAGAACAGACCTCCTCCATTTTTTAGAATTATTTATATGCTGTAAGTATTAATTAAGTATTTTTAATTTTAAATTTATATAGATTTTTTTTTTTATTTCTATATCAATTCATATTTTAATTTTAGTCGAAGCTTTAGTGATTTTATGTGTTTTTTTTGTATTAGGTTTTACATACATTTCTACTTCAATTTATTTTTATTTCAGTTTTAGTTTTAGTAATTTTAGTATTTGAACTTAAACATATTGCAGAAAATTATTTTTTAATAGTTTTTGTTTTGGTTAACAATAACAACACTAATAAGAACACGCTGCACCAGAGATGACAACCACTGAAACAACTACACATTTCTAACACAATTTTATACAGAAAAATTGCAATGAGCAAAATGCAATAAAAATGGAATAAAAATACGAGCTTCGCATTTCTGATTGAAATCTCTCCAGAATGTCTTGCCACAAAGACTTCCATAAAAACAAGCAAAAAGTTTTTTTTTTCTTTATATTTTTGCTCAAAAGATTTTTCAACCCCTCTTTTTCTCCTCCAAGGGTCCTTTGATTGCAACGGCCTTTACCAATGGCTACCACTGAGGGGCGTCCAATCAGAGTCCAGCGTGGGAGGAGAAACTCACGCACTTGTGAACCGCGAGAACCGCTGACGACGTGACGTGCTTATGGGACGAACCCCACGGGCGGCTGCGGTCCCTCCTGACTCCGCTCTGGAGTTTCCACCTTTTCTTTTTCTCTATTCTCTACTAACATCACTTTTCGTTTTCCTCATCCCGTATTTTGTTCCTGATGTATCCAACTCGTTTATGATATGCTGCCGTCTTTTGAAAGAAAAAAATGAAAAAAAAAAAAAAAAACATTGTCAAAACAATATTGTTTGATTGTACGTACGGAAACATGCAAGGAATTTCGTTTCCCCGGATTTTTATTTTGACAAGTTTTTCTGCATTTGTTATGTATTTTTGCTGACTGTGTTTTTATGTTTTTACTGTACTCATGCTGTAACGAGAAAGAGAGAAAGAGAGAGCACGAAACTAAAAAAAACAAAAAACAGGATTTGTTTGGTTTCGAACGAATCTAAACAACACAGAACAAATACGTGAGAATTAATCAAATTAACAAAAAACAAAACAAAACAAAAAATGTATATTTTGGTAGTTTTTACACAGCATTTATAAGGTTATTACGAACATTCGTAAGCTAAATCGGTTATTTTTTCCGTAAAATTGGTTTTTACATGAGAAACATCGGGCCTCATTCATGAATTTTCTGCGTGAATCTGCATTCTTTTCAGATGTACGAATATTTGACACATTTTTACACAGAAATGGGTTCTGCTCATGTTGAGGCTCATTGATCGGCTTCTTTTTGTAGATACTGTACATATTGCATGGATTTTGGGAGGGTTCGGATTGAACGATGGACTGGGGGTTGCGGGAGGGTTGAGGGTCCTTAATGGTTTTTAACATGCAAACATCTTTCTTCACATTGAATCTTGCGTTTCTGAGACTAGTTTCATGACCAGGTTTGACCGATGGGGGTCTTTAGTTGTGCTCCTCTCACTTTCGACTCCATTTATACTACGATCAAACTTTTGATAATTTTTCGGACTAAATTGTCCAATTCAACAGACCTTACGGTCGCTTTGGTTTTGTATGAATTTTAAACCATTCGGAAACCACGTTGTTTGATGTTTGCTGTCACTTATGAGGCGTCAAACCGCATCGCTGACAAACCAGGTTGCGTTTTCCATTAGAGAAAATGATTTGGTCCCGTTTCTGGGAAACGGAAACGCGGTCCTGATCCGCCTCAGTTTCGAAGAGCACGGCTGCTGGGCTTCTCTTCATGCTGTTTTTGGAAATATATATTATATATATCATTTTTTTGCGCAGTGTACTTCTATTGTAGGCCTAAAACTTTCCCGTTCTCCTTTTTCTTTTCATTTTTTGACACTACAATGCTGTTTTTTGAAGAAATGAAGGACAAATTTACAAAGCAAAGGAGTCTGAGCGCTGTTACACCTGTCGTTGTGTGTTGGGATGTGCGTGTGTGAGTGTAAGTTGCGGCGACTGCTTAGACTGAAGTATGGATGTACACGTAGCTAGTTTACATGCATTCAACTGCCACCTTTGAAACTGTCTCGTCTCTGCCAGTAATGGAGAGGAACGTCTCTGACAACACAGCTCTAATGGAGGCCTTCTGGGAAAATTGTTACGCTTGACTAATAACACGCATCCAGAGTGATTTATTTAATTTGTTTTTCATTTCAGCAACATTGGATCTGTTTGATTTCTACTTAATTGCATTCGTTTTCAGTCTTCCATTTGACACGTGTAGCCTCTTTTTGGAGCAGTGGTCACGTGACGACCGAAACTCCAGCTGACAGGGACGCCTCACAAAACTACTGCACGGCACACACTGTAACTATTTAACCAACGAAAAGCAATAAGTTATTTTTAAACTCAAGTAATAATGAACGCCGTTAGTGGTGGTACGAATACGATGGCGGTTATGTGGCATTAAGAATTATTTTTCCGAAAAAAAATGCTATATTTTTCAAGATCTGTTTTAACCCCTTGAAAGTTTCTCAGATTTTTACCGTACATGTTAGCTGTTTGTTTGGAGGATTTGTTGAAGGGGATCAGCGGCGGAACTGGAAAGCATCAGTGGGCGGCGCTCCGTCCTGTTGCTGTGGAGCTGCACGTCATCACTGTGACCTGATGCTCAAATACGCTGGTTCGCTGTCCCTTTACTGTATTTTTTTATTTTTCACCTCTGGAAATTTTCAAGTAAAAAGATCCTAATAAATTATTTTAAAACATTCCATTTGATGGCCTCTGTGTTCATGATTTTCTTTGTGGTTTGTTGCATTTTCAGGGAGTATTAGCAGAGATTATCATGTTTTGGTCATATGCAGAATGGATTGCGCTCTTCGTAATGTACATTTGGTGTACAGTGGAAAAGAGAATATGGATTTTGAATATGGAATGTTGTAAACCCTGAACATTTACACATTTCATAAAAACAGAATATCTTACAGTGATGGCAGTGACAGTGACGTGACATGTGGCCAAGTATGGTGACCCATACTCGGAATTAGTGCTCTGCATTTACCCATCCAAAGTGCACACACACAGCAGTGAACACACACACACACCGTGAACACACACCCAGAGCAGTGGGCAGCCATTTTATGCTGCGGCGCCCGGGGAGCAGTTGGGGTTCGGTGCCTTGCTCAAGGGCACCTCAGTCGTGGTATTGAAGGTGGGAGAGAGCGCTGTACATTCACTCCCCCCACCTACAATCCCTGCCAGTACTAGACTCGAACCCACAACCTTTGGGTTATGAGTCCGACTCTCTAACCATTAGGCCACGACTTCCCCTTCCCCTTATAAAATAATAAAAAAATATGGACAAATATCAGAGTACTTTTTAAAGATTATATAATTAAAAATATTTAAAAATATATAAAAGTGTTGACACACACACGTTTATATGTGTATATAATTGTTTCAGAATAAAGTAATCAAAATGAAGGAATTATTAATAAAATAAACATTTATTACACTTTTATATTATATTAAATGTTTTGTAAATATAAAAAAAAAAAAATTAAGGTTTCAATATTAACAGACCATGAAAAAAAACACTTTAAACAGTCAACTTTTTATATCAGGGTTATTATAGTTAACTAATGCTAAAACTAAAACCATTAAAAAAATAATAATTACTTAAAATAAATGTTAACTGAAGTAAAATAAAATTTAAAAAATCTTAAACGTATTGTATTTCAGCAAGAATAAGCTAGAAAACTAAAAGTATACGCAGATGTTTAAAAACAACAAAAAACGAATAAAATGTCAAAAAATAGAACTAACTAAAATTGCAATGAAAACAGAAAATATACAAATAAAAGCCTACAAAAATTTAAATATTACAAATATAATAGTACATCAGCAATACTAGAATAATTATATATTATCGTAATTATGCAATACTATAAATAATTAGCAATAAAATATAATTAATTAGATAGATAGATAGATAGATAGATAGATATGCTTATTGTGAATTAGAAATTAGATAGATAGATAGATAGATAGATAGATAGATAGATAGATAGATAGATAGATAGATAGATAGATAGATGATAGATAGATAGATTATATAACCTTCTTTACATTTGTTTTGAATATTAAATTTCTCCAGTGTATAAAATAAAAGATAAGGTATAGCTTTTGATACATTTTCTGTTTATATAAATTGGGAGGAACATTCACAGCACTAAAATCCTGAAAATGTTTCCTGCTGTGGTGCAAAATGAATATTTTCATGAAACATTCAACATTAGTAGATATTTTAAGTGCGCTCTAACATGTTAGCTAGAATGTACACATTTCTCAGCTGCTTTGCAACATTTAACCATTTAATAACCATTGTTCATGAAGCTAGCAGGATTCCAGTGCACCAAGTAAACAAACAGGTGAAAAGACGTCCAAAATTTGATGACCAAACATCCAACACTTCAAGACATGGGAACAGACGTGGTTGATCTGCCCCTCTTGCTCTGTTATGTTCATCTCTGTCCCATAACACACACCTGATACCCTGTGACCCCAATACCACCCGATGGCCCCATGCCAAGCACACACACACACACACACACACACACAACACACACGGTTTCTCACAATTTCTGCATTTGACTCTATTATTAGTCTAGTTTTGTGGGACCGTCCTGGTGTCATTTTACAGTTTTACATATCTGCCAAATTTTAGTGTGATATGGAAAATCAGAAAATCACACAAACTTCAACTTTGCTGACCTGGAATCTGTCCATGGGAAAGCGTCTCATCTCCCTGATCCCGTTACTCGCGGGTTCTTCTTGCCCAAACACCCTCCTACCCAAAATACTCTTCATTTCATCTTGTTTCCTGACAGCCTGCACAGTTCTCATGGAACCTAGGTGGATTTATTAATCTCTTTGAACTTTTCTAACCCGTTTTTGTCCACACTCGAATATCTGTGTGTTATCAGAGTGTTCGCCTGCCATCATGGCGACGGGCGGCTCGCAGACGGACGTGAAGAGCTCTCTGAACGGGAGCATGGATATGCATCACAGCTGGTTCGGTTCTACGACTCCACGACCTCCTCTAAGAAACTACCTGCTTCTGACCATCCTCACCTGCTTCTGTCCGGCCTACCCTGTCAACATTTTAGCCCTGGTCTTCTCTGTAATGGTGAGTCAACAATCTGGACGCGTTTCCTGGAAACCGCTTAAGATTTTATCTGCATTTATATGAATGCCTATCAAGGGCTTGTATTGATAGAACAATACAAGTTTGTGTCAAGGATTCATTTATTATTAATTAAAGGTGCTGTATGTTTTTTTTTTGACTAATGTGCTAATGTAAAAATGCCATAATAAATTTGTAGATAGGCCTATAAACATGCTAAGTTCACATACTTGTCTCTCAGAAAAAAAAAAACAATGCTACAGCCAGTTATTCTGCTTTGAAATTTGTATTCCATGTCGGAATGTCTGTTGTTGTTTTGGTCTGTGTGATTCCGCCCACTGCTGAATTACCCAATAGGATTTTAACGCCCCCGGTTGCCAGTTGGCAGAAAACACGTCATATTGCATCCATGAAAACCTGCTAACGAACCCGCATATTCTACCTGACCTAAAAAAATCTCGGCATCCAACTAAAAAGCATATTAAAACACGGATTAATCAACTCATCAACTTGCAATGTAAAGCTTGTCGCCTTGATGCATGTCCTCAATCTGGCAACCCGCGCAAGCTTTGAGTCTGAGCGAGGAGGACTGGCGGGAGAAACA